GTAGGTAGTTGGAGCATTCTTTGGCACTGCCCTTCTTTGGGATTGGGATGTAGACTGATCTTTTTCAGTCCTCTGGCCACTGTTGATTTTCCAAACTTGCTGGCATATTGAGTGTAGCACCTTAACAGCGTCTTCTTTTTTTCTAAGGCTGAGAATTTGGGAGGGCACAAATGCCTTTTCCTTGACAGAAAGGCAGGGTGTAAATGAACGCCAGCGAGCGAGCGAGTAGAATCTGGAACTAAATAAAGGAATTCTTGAGTTAGATCTCGAAGAGGCAATTATGGTGATTTATCGTTTGACCATTAGGAAAACACGAGGGCAGACTTTTTTAACCATTTAGCCCAATACTATTTAACCTGCTCTGACGTCTTTCATACCGTCTGCTACTTGGTCATTTTCAGCTGGAAAGGCCAGGGGAATGATCCCCTTGAGAACCTTCTGCGTGTCTAGCATATACATTCATTACTTCCATTTCGCCTCATAAAACCTCCTTCCCCATCCCGGCTCCCTTTCTCCCGAGGGTTGTGACTCCACCCCGCCCCTCTCTCACACTGGACTCCGCCCACACCTGCCCGACTCTCCTTTCCCGTCTTCCCCTCTCTCTCCCCCCCCCTTTCGCCTCCAATCAGGAGAACCTGACCGGTAAACACCAGAGCAGGACAGGGCGAAACGGGGTGGGGCGGCGAAGAGGAGGCCGCTCCCCCTCGCCCGCGGCGCGGCCAATGAGAGTCTCGGGGGCGTGGCATGTGTCCATGGGGACCAGGGCTGGGCTCGGGCAAGGGTTCTGTTCACTCCCATTGTTTGCTGGAGCGAGTCATTCGAAGCGGGGCGGAGTGGAGCGAGAAGCTAGCAGGGCGGTGGCGACGGGGCCGGCAGGTGGGTTCGAAGCGGACAAATTGTGTGTGGGGGGGACATAAAATGTGGGGTCTGTGAGGGGAAGGGACCCTCAAGTGGGCTCTTCAGGAGCACCGTGTAGGGCATGGAAGGGAGGGGACCAGAAGTGGGTTTTATTTAGAGTTATGGGGCTTTGGTATGCTAGTCCCAAAGGGTGTAACTAATTTAGGGGGCAGTGGGTTAGGGAGGGACACCCGCAGTTTAAGGAGCCCACAAGAGCTGCCCTATAGCCTTAAAGTAACATCTAGGGCCGGGAAGTGACATCGGGCAGTTGAGCGGAAGGATATTGGGAACAAGTAAATCCGATAACCCTAAACTTATTCCCCCCCATTGCTCCATAGGATTGCAAGGGGTGCTAGCCTTTGGGGTGCCCGTAGGGTAGTTGGGAACAAGAGATCCTGCCTTCGAGTCAATGGAAGAGGGCGGGGAGGGGGGACGACGCCCCGGTCTGGGGAGGCAGGGAGTGTCCTAGAGGTGGGGATGGTGCAACTGGAGAAGGGGGGGGGAGAGAGATTCTTCCCGGGCGGTGAGTTGTGAGAATTCCCCCCCCCCGGCTGAAGAGGTTTTCCAAACCCTATTGGGAGAGGGGTCCTGACCTTGCCCTTTAGGTTCTGAGGTTTTGAGGGCTTGTATTCCCAAAGTTGGTTGGGCAGTTGGACTTGGCTGTCAGCATCTGGATTTGAAAGCAAGGGGGTGCCTTGAAATGAGAAATGTAGGTGGCCGGAACGGTGCAGGGTGGTGGGAAACGAGCTGTGGTGGTCTAGGGTGGAAAGATTTTATTAACACAGTTGAGGAAGGTGCAAGGATCAGGAAGTCAGCTTTTGGGGGGGGAACAGTGAGAGTGGAAAGCAGAGATTGTGAGAAGAAATGTGGAGTAGGGGTTCCCCAATTTAAGACCATGTGTGTGTGTGTGGGAGTTGTAGGGCTGGAGACAGTCTTTTGTTTATGGAGATTTGCTGTAGAAATGGAAGACTTGAGGTGAAGGTATGCCCTGCAGAGTGAAGTGGAGAAGGACAAGGTGTTACATTTTAAGTGTATTACCATCATCATCTTGGATCTGCTAAGCTGGTAGGGACCCTATGAATCACCATGGATAAGGAATTGCAGGAATAAAGGGTTTGATGACGATATGGAAACTGATGAGGGGGACGTTGGGGGAGACAGATGTTGGGTTAATGGGAGGGGGCCTCTAGACCCATATCTTTTAAAGAAAAAAAATTCTTGATCTGAGATTGTTCTTTTCCTATTTGGTTTGTGTCCTTGGAAGTGACATCCATTTCAGTCCCATAGTAATGTCAAACACTGGTAGTCTTGGGGAGAGCTCACCAGCACTGTGGAAAAGAAGTGCTTTTCTTGACTGTAAAGGAGTCATTGCATATGTGTGCTGTTATTTGGATTTTCTAAGAATCTGACTTCATTCAGTTGTGGGGTTCTGCTTTTCACAGAGGTTCAAAGATCCTGCTGCGGTAGTTAAAAACACTTCCACTCGGTGGCAGTCGAAAAATTCTACCACTACTGAGCACCACTCCAGCATTGCCCAGGGTGGGGACATGTATGAGTACTGCCTTTGTCCCCTGGAAAAAGTGTGTGCTGCTTTATATTGTTTGGGAGATTTACAATGTCTCTTTGTGAACAAGGGATGACAGACTGCTTCGTTCCTTCACATTTATGATTTCTAAAAAGTGTTTTTGAAATCCGACTCTTCTGCTTCAGTGTTGAGCTACTGTATGTTTGGGCTTCCTAGTAATCAAGCTTGTCTCTCCCAGGCATGCCCTTTGATCTGTGGTGTCCCAGAAGCAAATTACTCATCCTTTTCCTGCTTTTTTATAGTCTTCTGTTTAAAAAAACAACACACACTACATTCTAAACTGCAAACAAGGAAGAAAATAATACCATGGACATAAGGGATTTCAAGCATATTTTGTGGAGCTGAGTTCCTGTTTGTTTCATTCATGCAAATGCTTTAAGACGTTTAACAAAAATGTCTGTTTTTCTTAATGTCTTGACATGAACAATAAAGAAATAAATTAGCCAAACTTATATTTAACACCACCACCCCGAAATACTATACATTGATATAAAGCCTTTGCAATCCTTTCCATGGTATGTAATTTGTTGACTGACCTATCATGGGTTCTAGGAAGTTTCCTTTCCTTCCTGTCTGCCTGCCAAAAATATGTGGTGTTTTTAGGGCCCCTTAAATTCCCTCTAAGTGTATTCCAATAAGACCAGGTAATTGTAAAGTACATTTTTTCTTCTTCATTGTTCTGTTTATAAGTAGCAACTCAGGTGTTGGAAGAATAAGCTCATTTTACATACTGCCTATATTTCCTTAGCTTAAAACAAAGCTTGAACATACCCCTTATGGGCAACCTGCTGTTGAAGGAGAATATTGTACTATGAACTGGGAAGTTTAAAGCAAAAAAGTTGTTAGTATCAGGGGCTGTGGAAATCTTTGCTTTCAGTTAAAAACCAAGTGAAGTCGGAAGGGATGTTCAGCCTGAACCAGACATTGCACTGTAGTTTGATTTGCAGAGTCTGTGAAAGTCTCAGCAAGATAAACCAATCTGCACTATAGTTCCTTCCTGAGAATTGATTCCCCCCCCCCAGCTAGTAATAGGACTATGGCTCATGTTAATCATTCTGTGTCTTTCTTAAGCAAGCTTACTAAAGGTATACAGTATATCTTTGTAAAAAGAGTAGAAGCCAGTGAATCTCTATGCCTGCAGATTTGCTGTTGATTATAGAAAGAGGTGCAGAAACATGATTTTTCCTGTGCTAATCCATTCTTGGACACTAGTGATTTGAAAACAACTTTCTGTAAGTCATGGAACAGTGGACCGCAGTATATTCAGCTGCTACATGAAAGATTCTGTTGCTTGTGCAGTTGCTTAAGCATAAATGTCTTGACATGCTTTCTGACGCAGCTCTATTATTACTTTTTAAAAGAGTCAGAATGCCAGACATTTTGGTGCTTTCTGTGTAGAGTGAGTCATGTGGGAATCTTGCTGTGTTTCACAAGAATCGGGAGGTGGTTTAGGGAAGAGAAACTGGAAACAAGAAACAACTGGCTCTGACTGTTCTCTCTCTTTCTCCCTCCCTCCTCCCCTTCCCCTGTGTATGTGTGTGTGTGTGTCTGTTTGATTTCTGCAGCTTTTTTTTATTGAGTTGCATAATGGACTGTGTATATGTATGTAAGTAAAAGCAGGAAAGACAATTCTGTGATTAAAGGAAGTGAGTGAGCACTTGTGCCTGAGATTTCGTCTTGGTAGTTCTGCGTTAGAACTTCTGTGACCTTGGATTGAGCAGCTTTACTTATAAATGTACTCTGGGAAGGTTCATGTTGCTTTGTAGATGTGCATGGACTTCAGATTGTGCACTAGAAAGAGATCTTAGTTCTATGGTTGGAAAAATGAAAACTTGTATTTCAAATAAATTATGCCAAGACAATGAACTTGTGTGAGCATTCCCTTTGTGTGAGTAAATCTTTTTTCTTACAAGACTTTAAAAACTCTTGTACGTAGGTTTGATGGGTCTGGATCGGGCGCTGAAACTGATGCACTTGACTGTGGAACTGGGAAATGTGAGTTCATTTCTGAACTCTGACGTCAAATTACTATTTAGCTGTGGGGAAGTCTCATGTCAGTCAGATGTTGGGGAGTGGTTAATGGTTTTTTGTTTGTTTGTTTATCCTCACTTTCTACATAAGTGCTCCATAACAACATTAACAGGAACATGCATTGAAATTATTATTGCAAACCTAGGTTCCTCCTTTGTGCTGTTGATGCATCTTTTAGTGAGGATGGTTATGTATCACCTCCAATATTTCAAAGTATATAAAAACTCTGCAAGTGGAATCAGTCTAATCTGTAGTGCCAAAGAGACTTTTGCTTTCTGGAGGGTAGGTAATATGACTGTTTTCATGTTAATCTTTCTGTGTTTCTCTTAAGCAAGGTTACAAACCATTTATCCTGGCAATATACTCTAGCAGATCATTTGTCGAGGAATACAAAATGGCAGTTGCACCCATATCCTGCTGGTGGGCTATTGACAGGCAGCTGGCTAGCTACTATGTGGAGTGTTGTACTACAGAGGCCTTTGGTTTGATCCAGCAAGACCTTTGCATTCTTAGAACAGCTGGGTCGTACATATGCAGTTCTTAAATACATTAAGAGGAAATGTTTCATGTGTCTGATGAAGAGTGTGTGTAGTATGTTTCTTCCAAAGGTGACACGGGAAGTGAAAGGAACAAATCTCAAGGTTCTAAAGTTTTGACTGAATTCACTGTGACAATTTAGAGTGAACTTAGCTACACAGAGCTCCTCCTCCTTTGTACTTGGCCCCTTGGGAGTTTGAGTAGATGAACCTGTAAATGTGGTTCTTGGACTCTGATTGCTATCTGAGTGCATGTATTTGTAAGCCAACAGAATGTTGCTTTTAAGCTCTGCATGTCTCTGGTTAATCTTTGTCTTGAGACTTCCTTTACATTTACTGCAAGCTGCAGAAAACCTTGGGTTCTCTCTAGCCTTTCCCTAAAATATTTATTCGGAAATGTAAAGTTTTCACTGCGTTCAGCCTGAAAGTTGCGCTAGTTTTGAGCTGGGGTTTCCTTCCTTTGCCGCTGCCTTTTAATCCTGGCACAGGGTGAGGCAAAGGGTGTTCTAATTGCATTAGCCAAATGATTCGCTTAATTAATCAGGTTTGCAGCACAGATGAAAGGATAAGGCTGGGGAGTTGCCTGGGAAAGAAGAAGCTGCTCATAACAAGGTGCCTTAAAGAGAGAGAGAGAGATCCAATCTGAATTGAACTGATCAGTATAATAAAATGCATGCAGGCATGTATGTACAAGTACCACAATATGCGTTCCTCAAAGAACCAAGCAGATCTTAAATTTGACTCCAAAATCAGGTCAAACCACTATGGAAGAGTCTACATCATCCTATGGAAAACATACTGTAAATGTTAGGAATGATCTCTAAAAC